TTGTTTTATGTTAAAAAAACATGGTTTACAAATTAAGAATGACTGGATTCGCACTAAGCCAAATCTAAATCATCTTTATTATGCTTAATACCAAAGTTCCCACAGGCTTATTTGTAACTATACTTCTGATGCCGCAGCTGTTTCAACAGCACCCACCAAAGTAGCCTTCTCAGTATGTATTCATATTAACAGAATACCAGGGATGGGAGCGACCTTGGAGGTCTTCTAGTCCACCCCACTGCTCAAGCAGGAAACTTTCAGACAAGAGGCTGTCCTTTTTTAAGTGATGGAGCACCCACAACCTCTGGTGGCAAGTCATTCCACTGATTGTTCTCACTCAGAGGAAATGTCTTAGTTCTAGATTGGTTTCCTCATTCTTCATAGGAACAACTGACCAATAACCCTCCCAGAAAGGTTGGGGTGTGTGTGTGTGTGTTGATATCCAAGAAGATCCCTCTTCTCTCTCAATATCAGGCGGTGCTTTTGGTTACTCACACATACACACACACAGTCTCCCTGCTGAACTCACCTCTCGCTTGATAGGTTCTCCCTCACAGTGAATCACCGTATCCGGAGCGACTATGCAGTAGGGGCTGGGGTCTGTCTCCACCACCTTGAATTCCACTGCGCGCATTCCTCCACGCACCAGGAAAATGTCCCCTGAAAGCATTACCACATTCATGAGAGGCCTCACACTACAGCCGCTTCTGAAACAGGTAAACTTGTCACCCATCCGTTAATTAGTATTGACATGTTTAGACTTTTGCAAGATCCGGCAATATAATTTACCTGAAACATATAATAACACCATCTATTACGTTCTTTGTTTAGTCTGGTTACCATAGCAGCCTCTCAAATTTTGATGGCTCAGAACGCACCGGGAAAGGTTTTTATAGAGGCAAAACAAACCAGCATTAATAATAACAATTAGGTTTCTTAAAAGTAAGTGTGGAAAATAAGCAAGGTTAGGAATGACGAGTACCATATATTATAAAAGATTTAGGCAACGCCAAATATATCTCTTTTTCAGGTTTACTGAACTGTCCAATGGAAGTTGAAAAAAAGCTTCTCTCTGTTCTTTTTTAGGGGACATCAGTACTATGGGGAATCAGGTTCCTGAAGGATGTTAATATACTATGAAATTATTTCCTCAAAGCTGCAGTCTGTATAAAGAGCTTTAGATATACCACGCGTAGATTGCTGCAAAAAGATTATAATGGATTCCCTGGGGGGGGGGGGGGAGAGACTTGCACACCAGGCCATCAGATTGAGATTAAATTTGGTGCTTACAATTTGAGGTGTAGTAATTTGCATAAAGGTATAACTGTGTTTCCTGTATTATGGAAAAGTAAACTAATTCTATTTTTGGTTTCTTTTTCTTTCCAGTTCACTTTTTCACATTTATTTTAATCATTAGCCTGCTTTATTTAATCTTTTTACATATAATCTTGCTTGAAATGTATTAAATCGTATTCACAAATTTTGTTATTTTTTATCTTCTTTTGCAGCTAATGGGGGAAAAAAACCAATGAGAATATTTTAAAAAGGAGCGTTCTCAGTGCTTATCATAGCTGTTGCTCTCCCTGAGGAAGCTCAGAGATATCCCACTATGAACTCCCAATCCAAGAGGCACATAAAATATCAGACTGGCCTCACTGAGGAAGCAAAAGCGCCTGGACACTGGCTGGCACTTTGTAAGTAGTCAAAGCCATTCAAATACAATCACCGAGCAAGAAAACCCTGGAATGGAACCAGAGCCATTAACCAAAACCGCAAATAGGAAGGCAGGAAGAGCTTGCAGGCCTGCGTTTCCTTCAGAGATAAAAGCAAACAGAACTCCGTGCACATAAGCACAATCTATCCAACCCTTTTCTTTTACAGTGGAGTTTCCCAAATTGGGGATAATGTGCCAAAAGTCCCCTCATTTTGCAAATGGTTGAGATTTTTAAAATATTATAGAGAGAATGTCCCTCTGGGCGATCATGACCGGCTCCCAGAAGCTCTCAAGCAAGGCAAACACACACACATGGCCAAGAAGTGTGCTCTGCTAGGAAGTGGCTCCTCCACCTCTTAAACCTGCGAGACCGAGAAGGCAGCTGGCTTCCCCAGGGCCTGCTGCCTGGAGCTCTCTGGTCGTGCTCAACTCTAGGAGACGGTCATCATCTCTGTTTTTTAGTCAAGGGAGCCAGTATTATGGTCACGTGGCCAGCATGGCTCTATCCCAAGGTACACAGAACGCCGTTACCTTCCCACCCGAGTGGTCCCTATTTATTACCCACTTGCATTTGCCTGCTTTTGAACGGCTGAGTTGGCATGTTACGGTGTCAGGATACTGAATAAAGGGGCCTCTTCCTCCTATACTTGAGACGCTGTGATTTGGAGGCGTAACAGAAAATATGCCTGCACCTTTTAGCTCCCCTTGGCGGTTGGGAAGAGACCAGTGGCTGCTACCAGTGGAAGGAATCTCAGAGGGACTCGGCCGCTGCAAACTCACCGGCAAAACAAAGCAATCTACTGACACTCCCAACAACACCCAATGGGGAGAGCCAGCCGCAGCCAAAGAGGCAGGATTTGGGGGCTCAACCACCACAGGAAGGTCCAGGGCTCCCCAGCCCTCCTCTGCAGGCACCTTTTCAGCCCCTCCCTTTAGGGAGCCTCATCCCGACGGAAGGGCCGGTTCCACCGCAGCCGGCTCAGGTGCTTACCTTTTCTGATGGGCCTGTAGGCCTCCAGGAAGTATGGCTTGAGGTAGACCTCGAAGAGGTTCCCTGTGATCCCTTCCACGGTGTCATCGATGGGCAGCACATGGATGCGCTTTCCGTACTTCACATCCGGACAAGGCTGGATGCTGAAAAGGGACAAGCCCCCCCCCCCCCCCGGTTATTCTCAGGTGGGGAAACTCTTCTACTGGTGGGCCACCTTTGCCGCTGCTGAGGAGCCCAAGAGGGGAGCCATTTCTCTCCTCCCTTCAGTGGCCTCCTTCTCCTAAACAGAGGGGCCACCCACCTCCTTGAATGGGACTGGAGGTAGCCCACAACCAGCACTTCAAACAATGTCACAGATGTTTTAAAAAAAAACCCTACAAATTCAGGTAGTCCTCAACATACAGCAGTTTGTTTAGTGATTGTTCCGGCATGGTTCTGTGTTGGGAGAATGAATTCTGCAAAATAACTGTATTCTTTAAGCCCTAGGAAAAACAGGCTCCATTTCCAAATACTTTCTCTCCTTATGATCTAGGAAAGATTTCAACAAATTCAACTGAGTTGGTGCAATCAAATAGTCTGTCTATAATTAGCTGCCAGCAGCCTAATCCCACATGACTACTGAGTTGTTGAGGTGAGTTTCACCTTTCTTTTCTTTATACTACATCTGCAGATTCCAACAAGAAATGGAACATCACATAAAGTTGCCAGATGCGGCTTTAAAAATTCTTCCTCTTACCAAGTTACCTTATTTCGATGTGTGTAGAGGGGAGAGGTCAAAATGAAGTGGATCTAAAGGAAAAAAATTAAGCTTCCTCCCATCTCGGCATAGTGTTTCTAATACTTACAGTAAATGAACAAAATTTGAATGGATCAATTGTAATGTAGTATGTGATTCAGTAATGAATGTTTTGATCTTTGGAAATCATTGTAGCAATAGCAATAGCAGTTAGACTTATATACCGCTTCATAGGGCTTTCAGCCCTCTCTAAGCGGTTTTACAGAGTCAGCATATCGCCCCCAACAACAATCTGGGTCCGCATTTCACCCACCTTGGAAGGCTGAGTCAACCCTGAGCCGGTGAGATTTGAACAGCCGAGCTGCAGAACTAGCAGTCAGCTGAAGTAGCCTGCAGTGCTGCATTTAACCACTGTGCCACCTCGGCTCTTGTAGAGGGTAGAGGAACAGGATGAAGAGAGCCAAGACAAAGGTCAGGAACGTAATATCACCCGTTTCAGAAAAACCTTCCCTAATTCACACAGAGGCAAAGGGACGGAAGGGGGAAGTGCATTCAGACTTGCAACCTTTTGTTATTGTAGTTTTACAATAAAGGTAGACCAGACCTGCAGCAACAGCAGCACCATTTCTCTTTCACTCAGCCTGAGGGGATGGGGGGCTGTGACTGGGAGGAGGGGCTCCCTCAGGCAGGCTACTTCATATGTTTGGGGTGCTTTAAAGGTTAAACCAGCCTCTGGAGTTGCACCCTGGAACACACCGGCAGCCAAAGCAGCTCTTGGAACAGAGATGAGCGTGTCATACTAGGGGCACAACCTCACCCTCTGCCCAGTTCATAATCCACCAAGCCAGTGTTTCTTGGCCACTTGAAGCGATGTGGACTTCAACTCCCAGAATTCCCAAGTGTTGACATCCACATCGTGTAACGTGGCTATGGTTGAGAAGCTTTGAGAAGCACAGAGAAGCATTGCACTAAGTTTTTCCACAGCAGATTTTGAGGCTATGCGTGAGATACGGGAGATTCTGCCATTGGAAAGAAGGTCTTTGTCTGTGAACAGAATATTAGTTTCCAGCTACTCATCAGTCCAATAACTCTGCAGGGTAAGCAAAACTATCAATTCCTGGCAACTTCATGGTGCATCTTGATGTACTTTTCCTGAAAACAGCCTGGAAATGGAGTGGCCACCGCCAGAGGGAGGGGTGGGAGTTCTTTGAAGGTCCCATTAAAGCAGAGCCATTAAGTACAGATTGATTTACAAACAAGAGGGGCATTTGGCAAAGTCCGTCCGGCTACATCAGTAGTTTCCACAAAAATTAAAGCTCCACCAGACGCCTTTGTGTCCGTCAGCTTCATAAACCCTTGAAACCAGGAGTGTTAAACTCGGTTTCATTGAGGGGTGCATCAGAGTTGTGTTTGATCTCGGGGGGGGAGGGGGCCCTGTGGCTGGGGTAGGCGTGGCCAGCTCATGATCACACGTGTCATGGGCACTTGTGGTGGCCAAGTGCTTAAGCAGGACTTCCCTCCATCTCATTATAGTCTTCCTTCCTTCTCCTTCCTTCCCCCCTTTCCTTATTTTTCCTTCCTTGCTCTCTTTCCTTCTTTTTCTTTGTCTTTCCCCTTTTCCTTTCTCCTTTCCTGTCCCTTCTTGCATGCCCTCTGCCAGCAAAAACAGAGCCCAGGGGAGCTGCATGCGACTCCCCCACCCCCCCCAGGCATAATTTTTGGCTGCAAGGGCCTCCTGGACTTCCCCCGGGCTCTGTTTTCTGTGGCAGAGGGTTGCAGGAGGCTGTCATGGCCGAAAACAGGCTCCGTCATTTTCACTGGCAGAGGAAATACAGGCCACTCCTTGGCTATTTCCAGGGCAGCCCCGCAGGCCAGATTCAACCCGTAGGCCTTGAGTTTTACACCCCTGCTTTAAATGCTCCCAATATCCGAGTCTGCCTTGCGGCCTCACCTGATGACGTCTCCAAGTCGCACCCGCAGGTTGTTGCGGACCACCCGGTTCATGCGGATCTTCTCATCCGAGCAGGAGTCATCGGAGAGCACGATGCAGACGGCCTCTCGCCTCTTCTTGCCTTTGAGCAGCACTGTGTCTCCCCGGAAGAGCTGCAGTTCATCCATCTTGGCCTGGCAGAGAAAGACAAGCACTCGGAACCGGGGAACCTGGGAATGGGCTTCGCAGGCTTGGAACTGGCTGTCCCTTCAACTTAAGTAGGGCAATCCGGCAGGCAGGAGGTCCGGGGGTTCCTCTAGAGCAGTGGTCTCCAACCTTGGCAACTTTAAGACTTGTGGACTTCAACTCCCAGAGTTCCTCAGCCAGCTTTGCTGGCTGAGGAACTCTGGG